TAATATTTATACATAGAAAAGAGTCAAAACAATGAAAGAAATAAGATTTGTATAAAGAAAAAAGGATTCTCACGATTTGTTTCTTCTTTTGTTAGAAGGGTCAAGAACTTGGAACTTGGAGCTTGTTGCGAATACTGCAGTATATGCTTTGGTTAGGATCTCCTTTTATCTGATCTTGAATGCCGATAAGAGCAAGATTTCGATGGTTTTATCACCAACCCTATCATACGAAAACTGAAATTAGTGACCAAGAATTCACTTCAGGTATATTATTTCGACTTTTCATTTTTCTTAAACTACTTCTATCTAACTAAATCCGACACATATTAGGACATGGATATAGAAATATAATCCTTTAAAGAGTCTTTAGATATCCATTTAAAACAATTTTCTTAAACCCTCTGCACTTGAAGACCTACTAGCTAGACAGCCAAGGGATGGACTAGGAGCATGAGTCCTATCTTGATCGAACTCTTCATTTTTTAAGTACTCAAGCATCACACTCGTGGTCCAACACATGAATATGAGGATATAGCCTCAATAGATCCTTCAAATAATTAGAAAAAAAACTAACTATACCCATTTCGACACTCGCATCTAAAAAACATAGCACAAGTCAGCCTATGAAGTCCACTGAATGGACAATCTTAAAGAAGGGCAAGTGAGCACCCCTCAACTCCCCGAGAAATCACTTCGACTGCATCAAGTATCATCTGAGACGCCAACCATTAAGTCATTCATTTTCCAACAATCCTCCAAATTCATGAAAAAAAATTCTAACAGCACCTGTGCAGGATAGGTCCTATACACGCTTGAATCCGAGTAACATAAATTCTAAAAGATATTATAAGGATTGAAAGAGACTTACAGTGGTGCTATCTTGCATCCAAACACGTAAAAATATGGAGACCGAGATTTAATATCCACACAACCTGCATCAGCTTGAACTTCCAAATGTGTTCTGAAAATATAAAAGAAACATCATTAATAACACACAAAGACAACTTTACAAACACATAAATCAATCATCAGCCTGCACTCTCTAATAAGTTAATCATCATTCTTCCATCACATATAGACATACATACGTGTGAATTAATAACTATTTACTGCTTCAAACAACATTCAATCATAAATAAAATCAAACACCTACAGATTACTACCAAACCAAGTTCACATAACTGATTCTGGTAAAAGAACCTCCTTGATTCAAACCATGTATAGCACACATTCGGATTGATAAACATTAAGATCCATGATTCAGACATCTCCATGGAACATCACTATATCGAGATTCAATAGTCTCACCAACATAAACATACATCAATAATATTGAGATTCAAACATCTCCCTGGAACATCAATGTATCAATATTCGATAGTCGCACAAACATAAACGTAAGTATTGAGATTCGACAGTAGAACCAACATAAGCAAACATCAATAATATTGGGATTCAGACATCTCCCTAGATCATCAATATATCGAGATTTGATAGTTGCACAGACATAAAATGCATCAATAATATCAGCCAAATTACCTAATATGAAAAAAGTGAGAGCTATTTAGGGGGGGAATACCTTAGATTGAAACACGCGGGGACGCTTATGGATATGGCTTGCCTTAAGTACATTTCTTGAGCAAGCCACAATGGTAGCTCCACTTTTGCTCCTTGTTCGACCTAAGAACCAAACATCAGAAAATTAAACTTTTCTTTTTCCAAATTTTCGCCTTAAAATGGGATTAGAGGGTGGGAACTTACGTTTCGGAACTGGGATCGATTATAACTCCATTTGCTGCTTTATGAAAAACAACTGGAACAAACTGAAATTTACAACAACAACAAAAAGATTTGAAATTTTCGATTAGGAAATTGAGAAATTAAAAGTAAGCGAAAAAGAGGGTGGAAATGTAGAATCAACCTCTTCCTCTGCAAGAATATCATCGATATTGTAGTAATTTGCCATCTTTTTTTCTATTCCAAATCTCTCTTTTTTTTCTGGACTTCTGAAGGGATTGGGGGAAAGAAAATTTTGCAATGGTTAAAAACTTATTTATGGGGGTTTGAATCTGTTTGGGAATTTGAGAGGGAAAATTAAACGTTTTTTTCCCGATAATTTTCAGGATTAAAAAATCAGGCTTGATCTAGTAAAATTTTAGCCCTAATTAACCCAAATGGAAATATATGAGCCCAATTCACAAATTAATATATGTTGATAATTTTTTTTAATCTATTGATAATATATATTTAGGGATGAGCACGAGCTGGATTGAAGGTCGGGTTTCGGTCAATCCGACTTATCCTAAAATTATACATATTTCACTTGATTCGACCGTACACAAAAAATATAAATCATCCACCAGACTCGACTTTTTTATATAAAATCAAAATCTGACTCGGAATATGATTTTTATTCTATACAAATAGGAATTTAATTGAAAAAAATAATATAGAGTGGTTTTATTGTAATTATCTATAAATATATAAAGTAAAATTATATTTTTTGGGTCGTATCGGGTCGAGTATTTTTACCCTAAACTTAAACCCGATCCGACCCAAATATAAACCTCTAAAACAACCCGACCTAGCTCGAACCTAATTAAAAAACTGTCCCGATCAGATCGGGTTGGAATACATCGAGTTCGAGTCTCAAACCCATCCCTATATATATTATTATAGGCAAATACTCGAGCTCGAATCTTCTAAAGTAAATAATATTTTTAACCATTGTAATTTCTCAATGGATTCTATTTTTTAAAATTCTAATAATAATTAATTCTATGGAATAAAAAACAAAAAGAATACAAGAATAATTTATAGGACAAGAATAAACTAACTTGCATTAATTAATTATTTAATCTAAATCAATCAAAGTTCATAAACACAATCAAACAACTCAAAAATTTAAACAAATAAACATTACTATCAAGAGAGAAAGACATAGATAACACTGACATAAAATTATATATAATTGATAAATTAATTTTAATATAATCCAATCACAATCTATCTTTAAAGACTGTAACTGTAACATCCTCCATGCCGGGTTAGTGATTAATTTGCAAAGTTTCAACATTTGGTGATTTAAGTAAAATGATGGAAGAGTTCAATGACCTATTTGAGTTATTTGGTGTAGGATTGAATTATAAAGAAGGATAATTAAGAGGGCAAAAGAGTAATTTAGTAAGTGAAATAATTAAATAGTCCTTAGGGTGATTTTATAAATCACGTGGGCATTTGAGATAAACATTCCAGACTTTTCTCTTCTTCTCTTCCTTCTCCAACCGTGAAGCTTGCAAGCAAAGGTGAGTTGTCTTCTTTTGGATTAGTTCTTATGAGTTAAGCATGGGTTTGGTTAATGAAGATGTAGGAAATATGATGGAGAGAAACAAGGATCCTAGAACTCAAAGAATTGCAAGTTAAGGGAGATTAAAGGTTGAGAGCCATTGAATGAAATCTTAGATTAAAGGTCATAATAAGAATTAGAAGCTGGATTTGACTTGTCATCAAGCTAATTAAGAAGTATGAGGTGATAGAATTAAAATTAGAACAAGTTGGAATTTGAGTAAGATTCTTAAATTCTATATGGATGATTAGTTTTTTTTAGTTTTAGAGGTATTGAATGGATAATAATTAGTTTAAGTAAGTGTATGAAAGCTAAGAGTATTAAAGGGAGTGAAATATGAATGTTTGAGCTGAAGTGAGATGATTTTCGAGCTCAAAATAGGATTTCTGGGCTAGGAGAATCGGTACCCATTCAAGGGGAATCGATACCCCCTCAACGTATATGAATTTCCAGAATGCTAGAGGGGAATCGATACCCCCAGGGGGGGAACCGATTCCCCCACATAAAAAAAGAAAGACTAAACTATTAATTCCTTAAATTGGTAAGCTATTAAAGATTAATTTCAAGACATAGACATCTGATAATCATCTTGAAAATTATGTTTATGTAGATACCGAGCCTACACGAGTTCGGGAACAATCTACAAGTAGGATCGATCGAGGAAAAGACAAAGAAATATAGGTGAGTGCATATGCATAGCATAATTATAGAAATATACTCAATTCTAGACTTGTGATAAGTCTAGATTTTATATCTTGGTACATGATCATATTCTGTATTATGAGACATGACATGAATTCATATAAAATGCATTATATGACATGAATATGCAGGAAAAGTTATGAGCTATGTGAAAAGGTAAGAATTTACATGTCTACGCGATATAGACTACGTGAAATGTAAAAGCCCATGTTATGTAGATGAGAACTATAGGTATAGTTGGCATGCCCAGGGTAGAGGGTCTACGCGGTCCTTCGGGACAATATTCTACGCGGTCCTTCGGGACAATATTCTACGCGGTCCTTCGGGATATATATATATTCTTTGGAACATGTGTGAAGTCTGGTGAGACACATATGTGATCCCTAGCATATGTATATGATTCTTAAGGAATTCTATGTGGTCCTTATGGACATTACTATATGGCACTACGGTGCAATTCTACGCGGCACTTCGGTGCATTTATACGAGCTGTGGTGACAGCATAGTGCACAACCTCACATTACTCAGATACCTTAGGTTCTCAATATGATATCATGGGCCAATAAACTTATTAATACAAATTCATGAATGTTAAAGTAATATGCTTACAGGTATGGATATTGATGATGTAGACTACATTGATTAAGTACATGCTTTCATCTCATTTCATATGATTATGACATTTTCATTACATTGCCTTGTTATTATTATTACATTGCCTCACTAAGTCAATGACTTAGCGTGTGAGTGTTTCACACGTAGGATCCGAGAAAGTAGACGAGACAGGTGAAGCAGCTTGACAGCATTACTCCTGCAACCACCAGATCAGAAGCAACTTAATCAGTAGGTCATTTTGTTATGTAAATGGCAGTTGGCATGTAATAAAAGGGTTAAGTTGTGTATGCTCTGAATATTTTGGTAAACTTATATTACAATATGTATATTATAGTATTTTCTTAATATAAGTTCAAATATTTTGCTATTATTGGTTAAGAGTTGTGTTTTAAAAGTCAATGTAATATCTCTGACTCATATCCGGGTCGGGTACGGGTTGGGGGTGTTACAGTAACCCTCTATCAATAACAACGTTATTAATAATCTAAAGAGTCCAAAGTGTATATCAATAATACAATAAGAATTCAAAGTATATATGATTAATATAATCAAATAACCAACTTGGTAAGCAGCTTGATTCCGCTTAAATAGATCTCGAGTTCGAACCATTGTGAATGCAGAAAATCCTCGTCGAAAGACTCACCCACCAAATTAAGTTAAGTGTGCGACCTAGACAATCCGAATTAATCAAGGTGCCGAAGCCTTGAAACTAGAATAGAAACCAAAATAATAATAATAATAATATAATAAAATAAACAGTAATTGAAGAGATTACATTTACATCAAACTCAAACTTGAGGGGGAAAAAAAGTAGATGTACTAAATGAAGAGATAAAAAATGTATATTATAAGAGTAAATAAAATCATCAATTAATTTTACTAGTTTCGTAAACGAATCGAATGTTCAACAAATAGTTCGATAAAAAATTTGTTTATGTTCGTTTATTTGTCAAACGAAAAAACATGGACAAGATTTTATAATCATTTAATTAAATGAATAAATATGAATAAAATGTCTCGTTCGTTCATCTACATTCGTAAACATTTGGTAATTCGTTCATTTATGTTAGTTCATTTACGTTCATTTATGTTAAACTCAATCTCCAAACTTGTTTAAAGTATTAAAAATACCCACATCAATTAAAGAGTATATAAACCCTAAAATTATTTGAAAAGAAAAAAAACTACTCTCAAATATAATTTTGATTAATTTTATATGTTCGTTTATATTCATTTGTTTGTTGTTAGTTTACCTTCATTCATTTGTGTTCGTTGATAATTTTTAAAGAACGGACACTAACAAACTACATTCCTTAATGAACAAATGCGAAAAAGAAATTTCGTTCATATTTGTTCATTTGTTCAGCTGAAATTAAACGCATGTTCGTGTTTGCATTTGTTTGATTCATTTACATACCTAATTTTTACACAAGAAGAAAAATTAATTAAATTAAAAAAAACAATATAACTCAAATATATAAAGCAAGAATATCAGAAATTAGTGTTCAACGACCACTACGAAATAAATAAATACCAATTGAGACAATTTGCTTAATCAAATAATGATATGACTCAGTTTTACCATTGACATTAATGAAGTTTTTTCTCTTTCCAGAAAATCAATATTTTTCTTAGTCACATTTCATCAATCGCCCACTTGAATGGGGAGTTTTACAAAAATAATTGTGGTATTTTAAGAAATCATGAACAAAAATCCCATGAATTTTATTCCCTTCTTTGAAGTAATAAAGAATCATGATGTGTGTCGGTCCTAACTCGAACAGCCTGCACCGAGATGGTCGAGAGACTGCTTTCGGAATCGAATCGGTGTTTCAAGTCGGTGCTTTCCGGACTTGTAAAAGCCACAAGCCAGATATTCATCCGGCGAAATAATGATTTCGTCTGCGCCATCTTTGCCTCGACAACGGCTTCAGAAGAAACTTTTCCAATTATCAAAAATGTCTCCAGAGAAGAACCTTGCAACTGTGAAGCAGCAGCGAAAGACAATTTAGTGAATGAACCAAAATTCAAAAGTTAGGTGAAGTGCTCACTGCTCAAGCATAACTACGACTACGAAGATATATCCCGTACCCGGTACTTACACTGGAGTCCGAGTAACATTGAAACCAGGGCCGTGGCTGAGGCAACGCGAACCGCGTGACCGCGTAGGGCCCCCAAAAAAGTATATATATAGTGGCATTTTTTCAATAAACGCCACTATAGATGGACCTATTGTGACGTTTTTAAAAAAAACGCCACTATTATTGTGGCTTTATTGATAAAACACCATCATAGATGGATCTATCGCGACGTTTCTCAAAAAAACGCTACTATTGTTATCCCGAAATTGAATATATTTAGAAAATATGGGTCCCTTTATAAAAGTTTGTACAGGACCCCCGAAAACCCAGCCACGGCCCTGATTGAAACAAATAACACAATGAAATTGAGTGTCGAAAGGTAGAGAATACCAGAGAGTTATTGACTGCTCTTAAGCAATCATTTGTCTTCAACATCAATATAATGACACGGGGCAGTCGCCTGAGAAGTTCAGATATTTGAGGGAAATATTGAGATGCATACATCTGCAGGAGAAAATAGATAAGGCTAAGCAAAAAGTGAGAGCCAATCAATTAAAATGGTTTGGGTTTGGGTTTGGGTTCGGCCCAACATGTGACAAAAAGGATGTTTTTAGAATACAACCATAGTTAGAGTGGCCAAGGGGGTAATTATACCAATTTTCAAAGTAAAAGTTGAATATCCATTAAGAGAGGGTAATTTCACGTTCAGTTCTTCTCTTTTTCTTCCCGTTCACTCTGTCTTTTTCTTCCCTCTCATTATCTCCAAACTTAGAAAGAGCAAATGTGATAATTTGGCAGCCTTGCAACCCTAGTTTGGAATCCTTGAGGTAAGACTTATAACCTATAGCTCAAGAGCTTCAAATCAAACCCTTTATCTCTTTATTTCACCATGGTGACCAAATATGAGCTTTATGGGAGTTTAAGAGACTTGGATGTTTTAAGTCCATAGAAAATGTTCTTAAACCCTTCTTAACTTGCGCTTAATCCTTGTTTAGTGAGAGAAGTAGGAGAAAACTCCAAGAGCAAGGGGAAGGAAAAACTTACATTGGGTTGAGCCTTGGACACTTCTAGCAGCTTAGTAATCAAAGGTTACACACTTCTAACTCAACTCTACCACATGTAGATCATTAGGTGTGATTTGTTAGGTTGTATGAGTTGTGAAGAATCTCTATGGTAGATTGCATCTTTTGATGTTTTCAGCATGTTAAAAGACCTATTACGACCCCTTTTAATCCTTATAAGAATTGAATAACAATTGTGAACCTTAGTATGGTCTTTGGGGAGGAAAGTTAACATTTTTCGTGCCCAAAACAAGATATTTCTAGATAAGAGCATCAGAACTAGAAGAACAGTATCAATATTATACTTCATGTGTGGAAAATAAGGGGTTTTTAGCATAGTAGTATCGATACTCATACAATGGGTATCAATAATGTAGATGTGGTTGTAATCACCATTTTTTGTTTCATTACTATTTACTATTATTACTATTATTATTATTATTAAATAAAAAATTTAAAGTCCAAATACACAAAAATAGAGCCCAAACAAATAAGCATGCCTAATGTCAGTGGCCCATGTGACAACCAAATAACATATAGGGTTTTGTCATATTCCTCCAAGCGCCAAATCATCTCTGTCGTTAGATTAAAATGTGATCCAACTGTCCAGATCAAAGGAAATTAGGGTTTCACCCTAATTCATCAAGCCCGCCGTCGCCTCCATGTGTGCCTCCCTCTGCCGGCGTGAGATAAACGCGCTTAACTCGTTTATTCCCCATGCAATCCACTGCCCCCGTGATTCACGCTGATCACCACATGTGAAAAAGGGTCTCATGTAAAAACAGTTTTACCCCCATCATTTGATGAGATCACCGACCATGAACATGTCTCCCGTCGTTGTCCCTGCCTCGGTGAGTGCACAAAGCTGTAAGAAAGCAAAAAAAAAAAAGCTAAAGAAAATCATAGCCTTAATTTTTTTCCATTCACATGCAACATGGGAAATCAAAAAATAGAGAAAGTATTCTATATATGAGGGAACCAGAAACGAAAAAACAGAGAAAAATATGAGATTTTTTAGGGGGGGGGGGGAGATGAGAAAAACAAACAAAAAAAGGGGGGGAAAAGAGGAGGAGGGGGAGGAGGAGGAGAGAAGAACTTACCATCGACGCGTCTTGGTCTCTCACCGGAGCAGAGAAAACGGTCTTCGTCGAAGATAAGGGTTTGCATGTTCGTAGATTTGAAAAAGGAGGAGTTTTTTGGCTTGCTTTTGAGGTTTTGGAAGAATAAGGTTTATTTTAGGTTGGGATAGCACGGTTTTTGGGTTTAGGTGAAGAAAGGTTTCATTTTAGGTAGGTTTTGTGAACACCGACCACCGCGTATGGTGACGGAGCATGCCGATGAGCCTTGGTCATTGGTTGTCAGAGAGGGCAGAGAGAAATTTCATTTCACTCTTTGGTAATAAAACAAAAAGTGAAACAAATGAAATAGATGGTCATTTCGGCCATAAATTAGGGTTATATACCCTTTCCAAAACGACGCCGTTTTTGGGGGAAGTTTATGCCTTTTAGTTCATGGGTTAAGCCCCTCCGCGGCCATTGAAGCTTTATAACTTAACATTTTAGCCACTAAATGCAAGATTCTAACTTTAGATATTCTCTTATTGATATTCCGATCATATCAATCATCAGATCAGACCAGTCGTCATAATCTTTGAGTTAATCTTATTCGAATCGTATTTTCTTTTCGAGATTGTTGAGATTGAATATGATTTATTTGAATCATTAATCAAGCAATTTAGGCTTAATCCTCAACAAAAGATTCATGTATTCCCTGCTTACAAAACCCAATTTTTTAGGTTTGATTAATAGATTTTAGGGTAAACTACGCCTTTAGTACTTAAATATTAAACTATCAATTTTGATTCGTTTTAATATATAAACTTTTAATTTTTTTCAAAGCTAAACAGACCATTTGATTTTTTTGAAAGTTTAGTACTAAAACGGACCAAAACTGATATTTTAGGTTTATAAATGTATTAAGTTTTTAATGATGTACTAAAATGAAATAAAAATTAAATGTTAGATATGATTTTAAAAATATTAAAAATTTAGGTACTCAAATGAATCAAAATTAATAGTTTAAGTATTAAACGTATAATTTATCTTTATATTTTATTGGTTTTGTTTACATGATGTTTTATTAAATAGTAATTTTAGTCTATATTTTTTTATATAGTATTTTGATCTAACATTTTATTTTAGGATAGAAAATTTTTATATGGAATAAACTATGAATAACAATCTTTAGTTAATAAATGATTAATGCTCCAAAATAAGAATATTTTTATCTTAAAATGATAAGAATAAGGGTCAAATGATTATTTTATCAAACATTATGGTCTTTTAACCTCTAATATTTTATTTTGAGAGATAAAACCCGTTAATTAACAAACTGTAAACGCTCTAAAATAAAAACTTTTTTAAAATTAAACAAGTTCAAAGTGAAAGCCTTTTTACCTTGAAATAACAATACTAGATAGATATTAATATAATAAATATTTGAAGTTAATTCTGATAGCTTGGCTTGCAGGTGTTTACAGTCTGTGATGGACCAAAACTTTCGAGGGGACCATACCTGGGAATCACAATGATATGTTCGATTTCATCGTTGGTTTTTGTGTCGTTAAAAGCTTCGCTCATGTTGAGTTGGAGAATTCCTAGTGAAGGGTATGTTACAGCCATGGAAGCTGCTCTCTTCATCTCTTCATGGGATCTGGCAATTGCACACGTAATCGTGGCGTATAGAAGAAGCTGCAGAGAAAGAAGGAAGCTACTTGTCTAGAGAATTGACATTGAGGCTGTAAGTTGCCTCTCTCTTTTGTTTTCATATGGAATTCGGATTACCCTTAAAATTGAAGCGTTTTAAATTATTAGAATAATTAATGAAGGTTGTTTTGAAACTTTGATGCACAGAATGGGTTTCCAAGGTACCAAAAGATTCTCCCTCAAGAAAGAGCCAAGTAGATGAAATCCTACTCTTTTCTTTTTCGCTCATCACAGGTATTATTACTATTATATGATTTCTCGTCTCCGATTATGATTTTAAGTTTTTATATCATATTCCATTTAAATTAAATGGTTTTTTTTCAAATCGAATAGAATTAACTTGTCTAAAAAAATCAGAGTTCTTGTGATCAGTCCATTTGATCTTTAAAAAAAAATAAAAAGTGGTAGCCATGAAGCTTCAGACGATTAACTCATGCTTATTTTCTGCAGATTTAACCAAAAACCAGTCAGCCGCATGAAATACAAAGATCACACGATATATATATATATATAACCTCAATGATTGAGTGTACAGTTTATGTAACATATGTAAATTACTTTATTAAAAAAGGAATGGGCCAAAGGCCTTTTCGATATCCAAATTCGGATAACATAAATGAGTCAAAGACCTTTTCGATATCCAAATATAATGTAATGTTTAAATTACTCATATTTTTTTCTTAAATCCTTAAATTGAAATTAAAAGATATTACTTAATTAAAACTTAATCGATAAGTCATCATGGAATCTCTCTGGGCGCACGTTAGCAGGACTGATGGGCTCTCGGATTTGCTTCTTTGGTGCTGATTGTTTCTTATTTCTCACTGATTTTGGGTGCTTTTCGTCTCAATTTGTTTCTCTTTTATGGAATCGTCGACTTCTGAGCTTGATTGGAGAAAACTTTTTCGTGGATCGAAGGAACAAGCCCTAGATTTTTTCCCACCTGAAGTTTTGGAGGGGTTTTCTACTGTCAAGCCCCTGCCTGTTGTAATCGAGGAGGGGATCGGTGAATGAAATCATGCGGTGGTGGGTCAATTTATCAGAGCTGTTCCAAATTTTGGCTCCATGCAGAGAATTGCCGAGATTTTATGGGGGAAATTGTCGTCAGTCAAGGTTAGTTTAGTCGGATCAAATCTCTATGTTTTTTCATTTTCGAATGTTGAGATGAGGGATTGGGTCCTAGAGAACAGCCCTTGGCATATTCAAAACAAACCCCTAGTGTTAAGGAAATGGGAACCGAGTATGAAGAAATTGGATTTCGACCTCAAGCATATGCCAGTTTGGATACAACTCTACAATGTTCCACTTGAGCTTTTTTCTAGGAGAGGTCTTAGTTATATTGCTAGTGTTGTTGGGAATCCTTTATATATGGACTCTGTAACTACCTCGAAGGAGAGACGTGAATTCGCTTGTGTGGAGGTTGAGGCTGGGGCAATGATTCTAGATATGGTTAATGTAGTTATGCAGGATAACTCTATAGTGGTAATCAGAGTCTATGTCCATTGGCTTCCTAAATTATGTACTCAGTGTAAAATATTTGGACATCAAGCCAATATGTGTCTTGAGGGTTTCAAAGGTCTTGTGAAAAATAAGGAAATTCAGATTTGGAGGAGAAAGAAGACTTCTAACATTCCTGATCTCTCTGATAAGGAGAAGCTGGGCAAAATTACCACTGCTGCAGAGAACCTGCCTATGTCTTATGTTGGTACTGTTATGCAGAAGGTCAACTCTACGAGTGAGGGGCATATGCCTTTATCTTCAGAGCTGAAGGTTGGTGATGCTGAGGTGTTGTCTGTACAAGCTCTTTAAGAGAGTAATAAAGACACTGTGCAAGTGTCAGTTGAAGGTGATGCAGTTCACTCTCAAGTCCCTGATGAGGACACTGTTATGAATGTTTTGTAACAATCTGTTGCAAATGGTAGTAATATCCTGATAGGGGTTGTAGTTGAGAAGGTTATACCTAAAGTAATCTAGGAAAACTCTAGCTATGGTGGGGAGTTTCCTATATTACAAGATTCTATACTCTAGAAAAAGAAAGCACGGGGGAAGAAAAAGGAAATTGCTGGCTCAACAAGCAAAATGGAATTACATGCAGGAGTTGGTGCTGTTGATGGTAATAGGAATACTAGGATAACCTCTTTGGGGGTTACAATGCTCCTTAATGAGATCAAAGCCAAGAAGAAAGATCATATGGAGAGGGCTAAAAGAGCTGGGGTTAGTTGTGATGTTAGCAGTGGTGGCCCTCCTATCTCTAATTGATGATCATAAGTTTTTGGAATGTTAGAGGGCTCAATAATGGGCTTAAGCAAGGTAAAGTCTTCAGAAGATTGGAGAATTTAGGAGTGGATGTGATTTGCTTCATGGAAACTAGAGTTAGAAGTGTTAATTTTCCCAAGGTTGTTGAAGCTCTGGCTGCTGATTGGAGTTTAGCATATAACTATGAGTTTACTGATGGAGGTAGGTTATGGGTACTGTGGAAAAAGAGTATGCCCTTCTCTATACTAAAGGGTTGTGATCAGGCTCTCTTAATTATTAGAGATGTAGTTGGCTATAGGGTTGTAATTACTGTTGTTTATGGCAGTAATAACAGTCAGTCTAGAAGGGGTTTATGGGAGCATCTAAAGAATTTGGAAGCTGATATTGGCTCTTCTTCTTGGGTGATTGGGGGTGGTTTTAATATTTTTCCAAATGCTCAAGAGAGTTTTGATTTTGATGTTTTGGGGTTACACAACACTTCTGATATGGAGGAATTCAAAGAGTTCTTGGTGGACTTGAAACTTGTAATGTCCTCAATACCGGGTTAGTGATCAAATTGTAAAGTTTCAGAATCTAGTGACTAGAGTAGAACCATGGATTAGTTCAATGATTTATTTGGAAATAAATCATAAAAGTTGTTAGTAATTATAAGATGAATTGGAGGGCAAAAGGGTCATTTGACAAGGAAGATTTTTTATTTTCCTTATAAGATAAGGAAATCATGTGGGAAGAGAGAAAAGATTACAGAGTTCTCTTCTCTTCTTCCTTCTTCATACGTGAAAGCTTGACTCAAAGGTGAGTTTCTTTGTTTGTTGATTAATTATTGATTTTAAGGTTGGGTTATGATCATTAGATGATAATTAAGCTTAAGGAAAGCTTAATTTATTCTAAAACAACAAAATGAAAGATTTAGAAGAGATTAAAGAAAATGAGTTTTTAGATGAATTTCTGGAAAATAGTTAATAAGTGAAATTTGAGAAGGAATTTGACTTGTCATCACTAAGAATAAGAGATATATGAAGTTAGAAAGGATTAATAACAAAGTTGAAAGTTTAGTAAGATTCTTAAATCTTAAGAATCATGATGAGATATGGAAGATAAAGATGGTTTACATGGATTTAAGTTGGTTTAAGTAATAGTAGTTGAATTTAATGACATAATAGGAGCTTAAAATAGAAGAATTGAATGAAGAATTGATGGTTTTCGGGCTTAAAATGCAAATTCTGGGCAAGGTGTATAGATGCACATTCAATGTGCATCGATGCACTCTTTAAAGAAGAAACATTGAATGCAATTGGTGCATTGATGCATAAGGAGTGCATCGATGCATCCCCTTAAAATGAAAACATCGAAGGTAATTTGTGTATCAATGCATGGGTAGTGCATCGTTGCAGGGAAATTGAAATAGACATTTCTTTTGGTCTAAGAAATGATAGATTAGAATATATCAATTGGATACTGATATGTATCAATGTATGATTATATAGATATCGAGCATGAACAAGTTCCAGAGCGATTATCAAGTCAAGATTTGATCGAAAGAAAGGAAATCATAAAAGTGAATTGGAACTTAGTGAGGCTCAGGTGAGTGCATATCAGTTAGTCTATGGTGCTAAATGGAAACAAGACTTGCCACAAGTATATTTCCTATATTAGAATGCATGAATATATGATTATATGTATATGAATGACATGAATTGTATGTATGCATGATTATATGTGTTAACATGCTTTTGAATGTAATGATATGAGAATTATGTGCTATGTGACTGCATGAGAAAGATATGAGCCATATGACATGATATATGTGAACATGAGAAAACAAGGTATAAGACATGAACTATGTAGATAATAAAGATTTAAGTAATAAAAAGAGAAAGTGGTATACACTTGGTGGTATAAATACCCAGTTATGGGTCTATATGACTAGAAGAAGATATAAGAACCATGGGTAAAATATATAATAAGTGTACACAAACTCTAGGGAATGTTATAAGTGGAAGGGAACTATATGACATATAGTATATTGTAGGGAAATGATTTATGTGAAATATGATAACCAAGTATAAGTTATGTAAGTTAGATTCTATGTAACTAATATGATGGACTCATATGATTAAATAAAGAATGAAATAAGTTGAGTAACATTGATGTATAAATATGATAGAAAATGAGAATCAGATGTAACTAAGAAACACTGGCATAAGTTATTATACTAACATTTAATAGTAGTTATATAAGAATTATATAGGAAATCATATGTGAATATATGTTTAGATAATAAAATTATATGAGATGAATTGTGAAGCTATGTGATATGTTATGAGAAATGACCCATGTGAATACATGAGCTTATATGAATTAGTGATGTGAATGTATATGTGAATATAAGTAATATAAGTTACGTGCTTATGAGATATGAATATGGAACATGAGCTATGTGAAAAGCTATGTGGATATGTGAAGATGTGTAATGATATAAAAGATAATGCCCATGTTATGTGATATGAGAGCTAGGGGTATAGTTGGCATGCCAAGAGTCGAGGGATTATCAGTGGTCATTCGGGACAAACAGTGGTCCTTCGGGACATAGTGGTTATTCGGAACAACCAGTGGTCCTTCGGGACATAGTTGTCCTTCGGGACATAGTGGTCTTTCGGGACAAATATTTAGTGCCCTTTGAGGGAATTATACAAGCTGTGGTGACAGCATAGTGCACAACCTCTATGTACTCGCATATCTTTAGTTCTCACATGTGTACATGGGCTAATAAAGAGATAATATAAATAAACTTGATATGATGATATGTTTGTTTCCTTGTGAAATGTTATGTGTGATATATGATTGTACAAATGATAATTATAAGATCATATGATAAAATGAATCTATGATAGTGATAAAAATGAAGATAATGATATAGTTGCTTGATTGTATATGTTATATGATATAAGTGAGTACATGTTAAGATATATGATATGAACATGAGAGATTATATAAACAAGAGAATAAGATATATGAATGATAATGACATGTATGTATGTATGTAGTGTATTTGTTACATGAATAAGGATATGAGTGGTATGATATAATAGTAGTAATTATTCATGCATGATTACAAGTTATAGTTTACATTATATGTTTATTTGCCTCACTAAGTCATAGACTTAGCGTGTGATTGTTTCACACGTAGTTTACAGAAGTGAGAAGAGAAGCGAAGATGAGCAAGACATGTCAGCATCTCCCTTACAAAATTTCAGATCAGAAAATAGATGATTTAAATATGTTTGGTTATTTTGAATATAGTTGGCATATACTAATTGATTGAGTTAAATATGCTCTGATCGATTTTGGTTATGGTGGTCAATTTATGTAAATAAACCGCTTTTACTTTAATGAAAGTTTTAAATTTTCTTTGGATTTTTGTCAAGAGTCAAAGTTTGAAAAGTCAATGTGACACCTCAGACTCGTATCCGGGTCGGGTACGGGTTGTGGGTTTTACAAAACTTCTTGGATCAAAAATTGGATAGAATCTTAATCAATCCCCAATGATTGCTGGATTTCCCTGATTCAGCTGTGGAATTTAAAGCTCAAGGGGTTTCTGACCACTGTCTTGGGATTATTTGGACTCAGAATAGTGCTCAGGCTCATAAGCCTAAGCCATTCAATTTTTTTTTTAATTATTGGACTGGCAATGAGAACTTCCTGAGGATTGTTAAAGATTCCTGGCAGGAACAATGTGGGGGCATTGCTATGCAAGTATTATTTAACAAGATAAAAAGATTAAAGCCACTGTTAAAAGAATTCAACAGAAGCCATTTTTCTTATATCTCTGGCAGAGTGGCTGTGAAGAGGACTGAACTTGAATCTACTCAACTTCACAACCTTGCTCAGGTGGACCAAAGAAGGCTGGATGAGGCGAAAAAGCTTCAGGCAGAACTAGTAGCTCTAGAAGCTGATGAATATGATTTCTATAGGCAAAGAGTTAAAGTCCACTGGCTTCAAGAAGGGCACTTGAATACTAGGTTTTTTCATCAAAGAGTGGAATTAAATAAGAAGAGAAATATTATTAAAGTCATTAAATATGAAAAAGGAATGTATCATGAATCTTTTGAGGATATGGCAGCTGAACTGGAAAATGTTTTTAAGAATCTTATTGGCACTGTTAACCCTAGGGTGAAGGGATATTCTGTTGAGTGGTTAAAATATGTTCTGAACTATTCCTTACATGTTGGAGTTGAGGATTTCCTTGCTGGTTAGATTACAGACACTGAGATCAAGGATACACTGTTCAGGCAAGGAAAAAAATAAAAGCCCTGGACCTGATGGCTACACTTCCTTGTTCTTCAAGGCTGCTTGGGAGATTGTTAGCAAAGATTTTCTAGGTGTTGTAAGGTATTTCTTTCAAACATCCTCCCTACTTCATGCTTTTAATGCCACTACCATTGTCTTAGTTCCTAAATCCTTAAATGCATGTATGGTTAAGGAATTCAGGCTCATCTCCTGCTGTTATGTGATTTACAAGACAATCACTAGAGTATTGGTCACTAGGTTAGCTTTTTACTTTCATGGTATGATATCTCCTAACCAATCAGCATTTGTTAAAGGTAGAAACATAGCTGATAATACTTTACTTGCCCAAGAAATTGTTAGGGGATACTCTAGGAACATATCTCCTAGATGCACCATTAAGATTGATTTGTAAAAGGCTTTCGATTCAATTTGTTGGGATTTCTTGATGATTGTTATTGAAGCTTTGGGGTTGCCTGAGGTGTTTTTTTGGATGTATAAGGGATTGTATAACTACCCCTAGATATTCTATTTCTTTGAATGATAGTTTGGTGGGGTATTTTAAGGGTGCTAAGGGGTTAGACAAAGAGATCCTTTATCCCCTTATCTCTTTGTTATTGTGATGAATGTACTCTCTTCTCTGTTGGATGCTACTGCCAAGAATGGTGTTTTTAGATTCCATCCTAAATGCAAAAGAATTCCACTTACACACTTATGTTTTGCTGATGACCTTCTATTGTTCTTTCATGGGTCATTGGATGTTGTGATGGGGGTTGTAAGTACCCTGGACATGTTTTATGAACTGTTTGGTCTTAGGATGAATTCTATGAAGACTGAAGTTTTTTTCTTGTGGAGTGTCTGTGGATAATTTAGAACTGATCCAAAAAACTACTGGATTTAGGATTGGCTAGCTCCCTATTAGGTACCTAGGGGTGCCCTTGATTACACACAAGCTTACAAGTAAGGACTGCTCGACTTTACTTGTGAAAATTAAAGGCATGATTGATAAATGGTCTAGCAAAAAACTAAGTTTTGGGGGTAGGCTACAGCTTGTGAAGTCTGTCCTGTTTAGCTTGTTTGGTTATTGGAGTAGGCTGCTTATCTTGCCTAAAGGTGTTATAAGGGACATTGAAAAACTTTGCATGTGATTTTTTGGAAGAGCAGTGACACCTCAGCAAGAGGTGTTAGAGTAAGCTGGAATCAGGTATGCTTACTAAAATCTGAGGGTGGATTGGGCTTAAGGAAGCTAGCTGATTGGAGTTAAGCTTGCTGCCTTATGCTTATCAAAAGCATTCTTGCTGGAGATAGATCATTGTGGATTGCTTGGGTTGAGGTTTATAGTTTTAAGTATGTTGATGACTCGAATGTTGTCAGTAAACCTCACTTCAGCTGGATTCTTAGCAAGTTGATTAAGTTGAGAGAAGAGGCTCATAGGTTGTTCAGTCCTATGGCTAATTTGTCACAGATTAAAGGTGGATGAATTTGGGATAGTATCCGAGACAGTAGAGAAAAAGTTGTGTGGCATAGGCTTATTTGGTTCGCAGCTCATGTTCCTAAATTCTCTTTAGTTGCTTGGATGGTCTTACTTGACAGATTGCCAACTAAAGACAGATTAGGGCGATTTGGTATTATGACTGATAATGTGTGTGGGTTGTGTGGAGATAGCCAAGAATCTCGTAACCATCTTTTCCTTGAATGCTCTTATGCGAGTGAGATTTGGTGTGTTGTTATGTATGCTTGTGGACTGCAACAACAAATGCTGAGTTGCTGGGATAAAGCTCTCCACTGGATGATTTCGAATTTTAAAGGTAAATCCCTCTTAGTCCATATTCTTAAGCTAGCTTGGACTGGTTTCGTCTACTTTATTTGGGAAGAACGTAATCACATATGTTTTAGAGGGTTGATTCGTTCGGCTGATACAATTGTAAAAAATATAAGGGAGGTTGTTAGAACTAAACTATATAGGTGTCACATGAATAGGACAGATGCTGTAAATAGGCAGTTGTGCCTAAATTGGGGGGCTGATATAGTTGTTTGTAATGTTTCTTGTAGAAGCTTTGCTGCTTTCTTTTGGATGAATAAAATTTTACTTATCCAAAAAAAACTTAATCGATAGTTAAATTAAAAATATTTTTTTACAAAAAAATGTCAATTAAATACATAGTAAAGTGATAAAATGATTTCTGATTTTCAAGGTCCGAACTTTTCTCTCTTCCACTTTCGTTTTATATTCCTAAAGGCTCTTCCTTCAGGCGGCTCTAACGTTGTCGACGACCACTCGACCCCTATTGATCGTCTCTCCTCCTCTTGTCGATTGTATTGTCAAGGTTTAGGGACTTTTCTCCTCCATCTTTCGGTAATTCGAAGTGAAAAAATGGCTTGCTCAATCGGATATTCTATCCTCCGAGGACTCTTGCTTTCCTCTTGAGTCTTGACACATACTTGCATTCGTCACCATCAAACAAATTCGGACAAGTTAAATTAACATCGACGTTGCAGATTGATTGGATATCGTTTTTGTGTTCTCGTCGTGGGGAAGAAAACTAGCTTATCTTCTTCGGCAGGTACCCAACTGTTTTAAAGATAAAACAAGTTAAATTTGTGCCCGTAAACTATTCGAATTCGAGCCATATTCAGCTTAATTATATATGATAGTTGATAGTACCCCTAATATCAACAAAATTATGAATACCTGAACTGAGTTACGAGGTGGTGTAAGAATACAGAGATTTCAACTCTGGCAAGCTCATATCCAGGGCATAACCGAGGTCCTCCATCGAACGGTGTGTAAAAATTTCCGGAACAGCTCGTCCCCGGGACATTCTGTCCAAATTCATTCTAGAGAAATATGTTCTTCGATGATGAAAACCAAAACCACAAAGTAACAAGGCGACTGGTATTTGAATTTACCTGCCATCTCCATGGATTGAAAGTACGAGCGTCTTCAAAGTGATCATGATCAAGATGGACGGCTCGGAACGATGCGAAAACCTTCCATTCCTTCGGAATTGTGTAACCTAATCATTGGTAAGCACACAAAAATGAGCCTTAAACTCAAACACTCGGTCCACTTGATTCACATAGTAACACTCTTATATATAAAAAAAATTGTATATTTTCGGACCTTTTATGTTGACATCAGTTATTGTTCGTCTAAAAACTCCACTGATAATGTTTGCGACTCGTAACGTCTCGTTGATAACCTGAAATACATTATTCGAAATCATGGGCAAATATTTAGGTTTAAGCCACTGTCACGGCAATTTGTTTAGGACAATGAATATACTTGCACACTGAGTGAATGACATTGTCTTATAATCACTCCATTCAAAATCGCTTTTCTTCTCCCTAATCCCCTCGTACTCTTCCTGCCAAATTAAACAAGTCTCGTAAAATCCTTATATTATGTCTCGTGTTTAAAATTTGAACAAATTTATAATTCACATGAAAGACGTGGCATTAGAAAAAAACATAATCATACACCCTATCGCATACGATTAAAAATCTAAATCCCCAATGACCTAAAAATGCCCTTGAAATTTCCATTGAGCGGGAAAGGACTCTATGGGCATTTCATGAAAGACAGAGCAAAATGATTCTGACAAATGGTAAAGTTTTCTCTTTTACTTTAAATTTATTTATTACAGGTTAAGGCGTGCAATTGGGACAGTCATCATTATTCCGGTTAGACAAATTTCCAGTTCCTACTTTGACTTTTATTTTCAGTTTTGTACTCTTTGCCTCTACTTTTGACCTACAACATTAAAATATATAATCGTAAATTTTAATATCTAAATCCTAATTAAAATATCAGAATTGAACCAACAATTAATTACCAGTGGAATGAGATATTAGAGTTGGAATTTTGAAGTAGATAGATAAAACAAATTAGGTTAGAAAATCGTCTTTTTTAAATATAAATTGATTAATTAATTGATCAAATATTGATGGACTGTAATTATATAAAAAATATCAGAATAAATATTGAATTAAAGAGAAAAAATGTACCTTGAGTTGAGCCAATGCAAGAGGGGTATGGGTCAAGAATTTGACAGCAAGTGTCATGATAGTTGAAGTAGTCTCATAGCCAGCAACAAGCAAAGCCACCATGAAATCCACAATTTCCTCATTTGAAATTTCCTCATCCCCTAATAATCTTCCCAACATATCACTCTTCCTCTCACCTCTTTCATACCCTTCTCTTCTTTCCCTCACTATCTTCCCCAATTCCTCTGCCACTTTCCTTCTCGCCTTTAGGGGGAAAAAAAGCACCCATTTAAATATCATTTTAGTATAAACGTATCTAAATCTATATTTGATGCAATAACAATATAAATCAATTAATTAAACCATCAATGACATCTCAAAAACACACGTAGAAATTTATATTAAAAGTACGAACTATAAAAGTTAAATTAGAATTTAAGAATACAAAATAAAATAATTGATAAAACGTTAAAAATATACTTAAATTATAATAAAATTTAAAATTTTTAAGAAGTGCGACTACACTGCAATACCCCTCAATTCATCCCTACATATGTCAATAGAAATGAAACTATTACTTACTTTGATCGCACGACGATAAGTGATCGAAAATAGAGGCAAGGGGATGGTGAAGAAACCTTCGATAACAAGAACATATTGTTTTCTCAAACTTTCACTCCATTTACCGGGATCAATGTCCATTAGTTGTTTTATTGTTAACTCGAAAGTTATCTATAAAAAAATAATAAATAAATATTAAAAATATAATACCGACTGAGCAATAAGAAATTTAATAAATCTAACTAATATTTGTTTTAAAATTCTAAATCTAAACTTAGGAAAATTACATTATTTAAAATTTGATTATTAAAATATAAATAAATTTATTTTAATCACTTTAACAGATAAATATTATATTGAATTTAAATAATACAAATGGATTTTTTTAATTAGTTTAATTCTAAGATTTTATTTTTAGTTTTTTGTGATTAATAATAATAAGGGTAAATTACATGTTTAGTATCAAAACTATCAGTTTTTGTTCATTTTAGTACTTAAACTTTTATTTTTTTCAAAATCATGACTAAAGTTTAATTTTTGTTTCATTTTAGTACACACGTTCAAATTTTAACGTTTAGGTTTGAAAAAAAACCTAAAAGTTTAGGTACTACACATTAAGTTTTTAACGTCAAGTACTAAAATGAAATAAAAACTAAAAATTAGATGTGGTTATGAAAAAGTTGAAAGTCTAGGTACTAAAACGAACCAAAATATATAGTTTAAGTATTAATGTCATAATTTATCCTAACAATAAGTTAATAATAGCTACTGTGGCATTTAAATGATTCCGAGTCAGAGTCACCAACGCCCGCGTTGATCATCTCCAATGAGTCAACTCAGTCCGACAAATATTTAGATACTTTATTTTACCTTCTTGGCTTCTTCCATGAGGAGGACACGGTCGGTCCAGGAATTCAAGTTGAGCAGGATTAACCGGTCTATATCGACCAAGAGTTGATCTTTGATAATAGACGAGCTGCCGAAACTCATGGTCAAAGAATGCATTCTTTTGTGAAGGTTGCCTTTCATCAAGAGCAGCGAGTGTTTCCCAAGCAAATTCGAAATCGAACCGGGGTAACTAGACTCGAACAGCTTCCCTTCGTTTTGCAAGATGAACCGGTTCGTCTCTGGATCAGCTGAAAACACAGTCGGTTCGCCGAAAATATGGGTCGTGAAGACCGAACCGTAACGTTTCACCCTTTCGTCGATGAACGGCTCGGGGTTTTCGGTCTTGTAAGCAGATATAAGCTGTAAGGTCTCCCCGATGAAAGGTAAACCCAAGTCTCCCGGTGGTAGACTGGGGCGCCGGAGAAGACTAGAACGGACGAGGAGGAAGGAGACAACGTAGATGACGGTCGTGATGAGAATAATGAAAAGATGAACGAAGATAGCCATGAACAAAAGGCTTTGTTTTCTTCTTTTATTTTTTTGAACATAAACAAAAAGATATATGGGAAACTCACAAGCAGGGTGTGTGTTTAGCACATGAGGGGTATATGTAAGGAAATAAGGGGTGGAAATGGAATGAAAATTTAGAAGTATTAAACTTGTCAGTCCATACTGTCCATAGGTTAGTCGACGATTATTATTTTGATAAATTATTGACTTTATTTACATACTTATAATTTTTTTATTAAATAAAATATTTTCACCATATTAATCTATAATACCTTTTCTCATTATCCTTTTTAATCAAATTCACTCTGATGATCCCGAGTGGCCTTAAGGAACTTCCACGACCTTAAGAGATGGTGGCAGCCTTAATTTGGAAAAGAAAATCTATAATAGCTTAATTAGTTAGCTTTAGATTTAGATTTAGTTAGTCTCCTTTCAAGAACAAAATAAAAACAATATAAATTGATTATAATGTAATATAGGTTTATAATCTTTTTTAATTATTCATAATATATACATGCATTAGACACAATTGTTATAATTCGTAACTTTAAAATATAATAATATTCTCATTAATCATTGAAATCAGTCAACAAATTTTAATTTATAATAAACTTATTATTAAATTTAAAAAATAATCTAAATTAATATAATGATATATATTTTCGATAATTTAAATTTGAATAATAATATTTATAAAACATGGGTAAATTTATCTAAACATAAAAACAAACAAATATTACAACAATAATAAATTGATACTTCAAAATTCCACTCTCTTTTACATTTTGTCACCCAAACCTTCTTCCCATGATGCATGTATTCTCTTGGCCCACAATGAACCTACTGGAAAAATAAAGCACTCCCAACTTCATCATATGATTACTTTCTTTTAAAAAATACTATACATTAAATTTTTATTTCAAAATACAAAATAAGTTGATTTTATTTTCTAGGGTTTATTATTTTTTACATCAATAGCAAAAAATTATCTCACAAATATGTTGTTCGTCTGTCATCCGACGCATTTAATTGATTTTAAACTTTAATATTTAAATCATAAATCCTTAAATCTATAATCTTAACTCTTAAACAGAAGACATAACAATATCATAATCCCTCTTATGAAATAACTTTTTCACCATTAGAGCATGAAATATATATATTTTATTTGTAGTTTGTAATTTAACTATAAATTTAGTAATTAAGTTTTTCTACTTAGTTTCTTTTAAAATAAACCCCCAAATAAGAGATCTATAGTTTAGTGGTAAATTTTATTATCAAACCTAAATTAAAGAATATTGTTTTATTATCAACAATCATTTAATTTAATAAGATGAAATATTGATTTTTTTAAATAAAGTAAATTCACATTTACGAATTGATCAAATTAGATTGACACCAATAACGTTCTAAATCTTTTATGTTACTTAAGTTGCAAAATCTTTGTAATCGTAACTTCGTGTCGATGGAACTAGGTAGGTTGGTTGATTTCAGACAGATTAGAAAACCCTTTCCTGAATTCCTGCGAGTTGGACAGAATTTCACTTTGTTTAATTTACTAAATTATTTTTTTATAATTAGCATTTGTTAAATAAGAAAAATTTTGGGATTTTTTCGCCCGTTGAATTATCAATATTGTTGTGGTCCTTGTGGATCTAGTGGGAAGTCCAAAACCCAAGTTCGAGGTGATTGAGCTGCCATCACATCCTATACTCCAAAGGGATAATAACCATTTAAAAATAAGTTAAAAAAGAAGAATTGTTATTTAACAATATATATATAATCATTAAATTATTTTTAAATTAAATAACAATTCTTCTTTTTTAACTTTTTTTTCTCATTCATTACAATATCTTATATATTATCTATTGCATTTTAATACCAATCATTGATCCTGGCTTGGTGGTTTGGGACTACCCTAAGCATTGCTCTTGCCTAGGTTTGATTCCTCTAACCCCCCACTTTGGGGGTTTTCTTCTACTCTCAATTTTCCATCAAATCTGATTAGATAATTATACATTGGGTTGGAAATAAAATAATTAAATTTAAAAATACCTTTCAATCATGTTGTGACAAGTGCTTGTCACAACATGATTAGAGGATTGAATTTATAAAATAAAATTTAAATTATGACTAAATTGATAGAATATATGAACATTAAGGACTAAATGTATAATTATATCAATTTTTTTAACAGACACGTCAGTATTTCAGTCAAGCATTAACAGCTAGTGGCTTGATTGAACACATTTAAATAGTTAAGTGGTTTGATTGAAAAAATTGAAAGATAGATGAAAAAAGTAAAAAGACTACATAGTTGAGTAGTTAATGGTATAGTTTGCCCTTTATTTTATTTTAAAACACTATACATTTGTTTTTAATATAAAATTTTACGTCAATTTCTGCACTGGGTTCTGCGTGGCATGTGCTTCCCACCGAGGCCAGAGTTTAAGAGTTGATGGAAGAACTTGGTTCGGAGGCAAATTGTTGATTAGGATGTAGTTCAAACCAGCAAATTCTTTATTTATGTCATTGTGAATAACAAATATAAAATACACGAATGTTCCTTCATTTGTAGCTTATAGGTCAAATGCACTAATCCGACCGACTAAATCAGACAGTATTATATGTGAATTATTGTTCCGACAACTTATTTTAGGGTATGCTACCCACTGATGTGTATCGGTTTTAGCATTAAATTTTAAAATATTTTAATTTAGATGTTGAATTTTAGTTTGAATATTAAATAATTATTAGATTATTAGAATCGTTAATGACGTGATGATATACTTATTTCTTTTCAATTTTTATTTAAAAAATTATCAACTTTTTCAAATATTGTTGCCCATCAATCTTCGTCCATCATCGGTTACCATACATGGTAATATTGGTATCAAAATATTTGTATTTCACCTATTTTCTTCTTTTCGATTTAATTTTTCATGAAATACACTCAAAATCAACAATTTTTTTAATGTTTGACGTTCTAATACTCTAATCTCCTTCAATGACTGTTCGATGAGACTAATTTTTAAGTATGTTGTTTGTGTTCTCAAAATAATATTTCTTACTAATCGAATTTTAAAACAAACATCTCTAATCTCATAAAGTCCTAAATCCCTCCAAGTATGATAGTTCTTTTTACGTTGTTAAAGAATATTTGAGAAAATCTAAACTAATAAAGTAATAGAGGATGATGAAATGAATTCTTCAACATTTAGGGTAGTCACAAAAGATGTTAAAGAATGACGATTTCTAATAACGACGATTGAAAATGGGTAGAAAAAAAATGAAAGTTCGATGAAGATGATGAAATGAAATAAAAAATTAGTGTAATGTCTTTCACATTTATATATATCGGCTTCACATCAATATCAGATTGTCATTTCATCTTATTGTTAATAATTTAATAATCCTGTGCTTTAATTAAAACATAAACTAAAGTTTAGTGTTAAAATTGAACATCAATATCAAATTGTCATATCATCTTACTCGGAGGATGTATACGATTCAATTCGATGAGTTTAAAATAAATTATCGATTTTTTTTATCAGATTAACAATTATTTTCAAATTTTATATATTAACTTTGTGTTTTGAGATTTTTCTTTTATTTTGATAAAATAACTTAATTTGTTCTCCAAAAGAGAAATTCCCATTACAAAACGATCTAAATTGTTTGCTGCCGTTACATCACACTTTTTCGGAACTCGTATCTACAACCCTAATAAAATAAGTTCCGGTCGAATCCAAGATAGGTTTGGGTTTAGCTTTGACACCAAGAAGGCATCACCATCGCCCAAAAAAGCAGCACCAAAACCACCGGCCGACCGCCTATATTTGGTTCCCCAATGCAAGCCCACCGGAATGGCTAGACGGGACGATGATCGGAGACCGAGGGTTTGACCCTTTCGGCGTACAGCAGTTTCCTGGGTATTTGTAAACGGCGGTGAGGAAAAAACTTAAAGAAAATGACGATGAGAAGGTGTTGACAAGCCTTGCCGCGTTTGTAAACGCAAACGCTACTAATGAATTGCAATAACGTATTAAAAAACGACATTAAATATGTATCTTATTGCGGCATTTGATAAAAAAAGCCACAAACAATGACTCTATTTCGGCTTTTCTTTAAAAAAAAATGTCACAAACGATTATTTTATTACGGCATTTTTAAAAAACGTAATGAATGTTACCATTTTGTGGCGTTTAGTATCTAAACACTGAGATATATGTAAATTTTGTGGCGTTTACTCTAAAAAAGGAGTTACAAACCTATTTTGTAGTGGTGGGTGAATTTTCATATTACACATTTTATTTTATCAAATACTATTAATGTTAATTTAAAATAATTTCAATATCATTGACTTGATTACATAAAATATATGCAATGATGTCCTTGAAGAGCAACATTGCAGATGAATTGAAACTAGTTTACATAAATGTAGAGTATACATCAATAGAGCCATATGTCCATTGGTATAGGCCTGATTTAGTACTATTTGGGTGCATCAAATACAAGACAAGTGCCTTCGCCACCAGTGTTCCATAAGAAGTTCGCATATTTGGATGCATGAAAAGGGTTCTTCTCATCAACTTCCAGGGCTTGTAAGTATATCTCTTCGGCTTCCCAATGATCATTTCTCACTTGCCATAAGAAATCGGCAAACAGTCCTAATGCCTCCGAATCTTGTGGATCGGCTTCAATAGCACGTTTGTAGTACTCCTCCGCCCTGCATATATATATATTAATCGGTACATAGTAATATAGTTTTCGAATATATTAATGAATCCAAGTAAAAGTTTACGGTACAATTTACTTGGGTAAACAATAAGATTAAAAAAATAAGAATGTGCGATGATTGTAAAGACTCTTGAGTCTTGTCGCACATTCAATCCATATAAGTAGAGACGGAAACACGTTATGGGTGGGAGGGACAATACCTTCCAATTTTGATGGTCCAATTATATTTAGTTCAATGATAATTTTGAAACCATTATAATAAAGTTTCTTTT